CCGCTTGCACCTGTTGTATGTGTAATGACCGTATTCTCTTGTAGTTGTAAATCGCCGTTTTCTCCTGTTGTATGTCTATTGGCTGTTGTCTCCTGTTGCATGTGTTATGGCTGTTTTCTCCTGTTGTTTGTGTAATGGCCGTACTGTCTTGTTTTATGTTTAATGCCCGTTTTCTTCTGTTATATGTACAATGGCCGTTTTCTCTTGTTTTATGTGTAATAACCGTTTTCTCTTGTTGTATGTCTAATTGCCGTTTACTCCTGTTGCATGTGTAATTGCTGTTTTCTCCTGTTGTACGTGTAATGACCGTATTCTCTTTTTATTGTGTAATGGTCGTTTTCTCGTTTTGTATGTGTAATGGCCGTTTTCTCCTTTTGTATGTGTATTGGCCGTTTTCTCTTGTTTTATGTATAATGCCCGTTTTATTTTGTTGTATGTCTACTGGCTGTTCTCTCCTCTTGCATGTGTTATGGCCTTTTTTTCTGTTATATGTGTATGGTCGTATTTTCATTTTTATGCGTAATGGTCGTTTTCTGCTGTTGTATATGTAATGGCCGTATTCTCTAGTTGCATGTGTTATGGCCGTTTCCTCTTGTGTTATGTGTAATGGTCGTTTTCACCTGTTGTATACGTAATGGCCGTATTCTCTTGTTTTGTGTGTCATGGCTGTTTTCTCATGTTTTATGTCAAATGGCCGTTCTCTCCTATTGCATGTGTAATTGCCGTTTTCTCCTGTTGTACGTGTATTGGTCGTATTCTCATGTTTTATGTGAAATGGCCGTTTCCTCTTGTTTTATGTGTAAAGGCCGTTTTCAACTAGCTGTTGTATATGTAATGGCCATATTTTCTTGCTTTATGTGCAATTGACGTTTTGTTTTGGTGTATGTCTAATGGCTTTTCTCTCGTGTTGAATGTGTAATGGCCGTTTTCTCCTGTTGTGTGTGTAATGGCCCTATTCTCTTGTTTTATATGTAATAGCCGTTTTCCTCTGTTATATTTGTAATGGTGGTTTTCTACTGTTGTATGTAAAATAGCCGTTCTCTCCTGTTGCATTTGTAATGGCCGTTTTCACCTGTTTTATTTGTAATGACCGTGTTCTCTTGTTTTATGTGAAATGGCCGTTTTCTCCTGTTGTATGTAAAATGGCCGTTCTCTCATGTTGCATGTGTAATTGCTGTTTTCTCCTGTTGTCTGTGTTATGACCGTATTCTCTTTGTTTTTTTAATGGCTGTTTTTCTCCTTTTGTAAGTGTAATGGCCGTGTCCTTTTGTCTTATGTGTAAAGGCCATTTTCACTTGTTGTATGTGTTATGGCCGTTTTTCCCTGTTGTATGTGTAATGCCCGTTTTCACCTGTTGTATGTGTACTGGCCGTATTCTCTGGTTTTGTGTAATATGGCCGTTTTCTCCTGTTGTATGTCTAATGGTAGTTCTCTTATTATAATGTAATGGCCGTTTTCTCCAGTTGTATGTCGTGTTATGGTCGTTTTCTCCTGTTGTATGTGTAATTGCCATATTCTCGTTTTATGTGAAATGACCATTTTCTCCTGTTGTATGTTTAATCGCCGTTCGCTCCTCTTGCATGCATTATTGCCTTTTTTTATTCTGTTATATGTGTAATGGCCGTATTCTCTTTTTATTGTGTTATGGTCGTTTTCTCCGGTTATATGTGGAATGGCCGTATTCTCTTTTGTTTGTTTAATGGCCATATTCTCTTTTATGGCCGTTTTATGTGTAATGGCCGTTTTCTCCTGTTGTATATCTAATGGCTGTTCTTTCCTGTTGCATGTGTTAATGGACGTTTATTCCTGTCGTATTTGTAATGGCCGTTTTCTCCTGTTGTATGTGCGATGGCCGATTTCGCCTTTTGATGTGTAATGGCCGTTTTCTCTAACAGAAAAAATGTGGATTGTAAGTTTCAGTTGTTGTAGATTTTTTGTTTCTTTTTTTATACATTGAAAAGGTTATTCAGGGTTAATTTTGTCAAAAATTATACAGATATATGGGAAGTCTTGATATAGATTTGAACGATTAACACCAAAGACGACAAATAATCACCCATTAGTTTTGAATTATATGACGAAAAAGAAAAATTCAGTCATACGTATACAAGTTTATTAGAAATGATAAGTTAATATGAAACACTACAATGGTAGATTATATCTACAATATAAATCTAAATTTAAATAAATACGAAATAAATTGGTTCATTGAGGCTGTAATTCCTTTCCAGTGTATGGAAGTCCCATCTTCTATTAAGAATATAAAAACATTGTCATATTCCACTGTTCTTTAAAGATTCCAAATACAATAATACATTAATTTATAATTGAGCACTTCTTAAAAGATAATATACAATTAATGTCTATTTTTTGGTTTTATTTTGATAACTTCTCAGAATGTGTCAAAATCAATAAACATTTTAAGCTACTTGTATTGAATTCTCATTTAAATAAATATTCAGAAATATGACCAAATGTTATGAATCATTTTGGTAAACATATAAATCTAAAATACTATATACTTTAATTAAAAAGATATCATGGTCTTTCCTTTCTTTTGAGATAAAAACATTGAAAAATTATAATACATAACTTGATATAGAATAAATCAAATTATCAAATTATCAAACTTTTTTGTTTATATTTGATACAGATAACACTTAGCAAAAATATATATTAGGCTTATAGTATACATTAACATGATTTATTAGTCCAGATTTACACATTAAATTTAAATATTCTGATTTATTCATTGGAATTTTGAAACTTATTATTTTATTAAATGTAAAATAACAAAATTATACGAACACCAAGGAAAATTCAAACCAGAAAGTTCTTTATCAAATGGTATATATAATTAAATGAAAAGAAAATTAATTTATTTTACTAAGATGGTAAAAAGGGCATTTTTTGAATTCACAAGTTCTACGAACACATTAGTTATATTGTATATTCCTTAATTTTAATAAATATATTGTATATGTATAATAATTTGATTCCATTAAATATAATTCATTATTTTTGTTCTTTACATACATGATATATAACACATGATTTGCTTTAATCATTCTGCATATATTACTTTTTGTTACACAAGCTCAATTTTTCTGGGAAAATGTTTATCATGTTTATGCACAATTTCATGTTTTGCAGTTTCAATATACAACTTCATAGCAAAGCACTTCATACCTAAAAGCATACATTCCTCAGCAAGAAATCATCATGAAAACAAAAAGGAAAATTAAAGTCAGAATTACATGTAGCTGTTTAAAGAAATATATTGGTAGTCAAACATGACACCTTTAAATACTTGACCATACATTGATATAACATGGATATTAAAACAAATACAATTTACCAGTATAACATAACAATTTACTACATAATGACAGTGGGATCTATAAGCTTTAACATGTCTAATGTTAACCTAGTCATGATGATAAAATATAGGTCAGATAGAACTACATTTTCTTCGATGTTGACCTTTACAGTTATAGTGACCTACTTCCTAATTATGTATCATCTTCAGATTTAAAATGAAACCATTACTTATAGTCATGGAGATATCATTTGATTTGATTGATTGATGTTTAACGCCATTTTCAGCTCTATTGATCCCAGTACTTATAGACATGGAGATGTGATTTGATTTGATTGATTGGTGTTTAACGCCACTTTCAGCCTATTGGTACTAGTACTTATAGACATGGAGATATGATTTGATTGATTGGTGTTCAACGCCACTTTCAGCACTATTGATCCCAGTACTTATAGACATGGAGAAGTGATTTGATTTGATTGATTGGTGTTTAACGCCACTTTCAGCCCTATTGGTACTAGTACTTATAGACATGGAGATATGATTTGATTGATTGGTGTTTAACGCCACTTTCAGCACTATTGATCCCAGTACTTATAGTCATGGAGATATCATTTGATTTGATTGATTGATGTTTAACGCCACTTTCAGCACTATTGATCCCAGTACTTATAGTCATGGAGATGTGATTTAATTGATTGGTGTTTAACGCCACTTTCAGCACTATTGATCCCAGTACTTATAGACATGGAGATGTGATTTTATTTGATTGATTGGTGTTTAACGCCACTTTCAGCCCTATTGGTACTAGTACTTATAGACATGTAGATGTGATTTGATTTGATTGATTGATGTTTAACGCCACTTTCAGCACTATTAGTACTAGTACTTATAGACATGGAGATGAGATTTGATTTGATTGATTGGTGTTTAACGCCACTTTCAGCACTATTGATACTAGTATTTAAAGTCATGGAGATATGAACGCAGATGTAAAACTCAAAAAAGGCAGTGTAAACTGTCTACTTTCATGACTTTTTATGTACAAGATATTAAGATATAATAAGATATTTTTATTCCATTTAAATAGCCCATGAGATTAAAGTAGTTTAAAATGATGATTTTTCATAATTGACAAAAATATTGTTGTCAATCATATATAAATATGAATATAATCAACTAAATGTTAAGCCAGTCCAAAGCCATAAGCATGTGAGTAAACATGCAGTTATAAAACAGATAATACATAATATTAACAGGTAAATATTCTTAATGGGTTACATATAAACATATCTGTACAATATTGATAGTTTTCTGATTTCAAGACATTCCTTATACATTCCAATAATCATGATAATTGTTAATACCTCTACGTTTTCTTGAATAAAAAGACAATTTGAATTTTACATTTTTACAATTTTACAAATGATATTATAGAACTATTTCTTCAAGAGATTATAACGAGGACATTCACATATACAATGTTTTTCATCTTCAACTTTATCCAACATAACCTTTGTGATTTATCTATATAATTGTTTTTTGCATATCCATCTGTCTCTGTTTTTAGGGGGTGTGCACCTATCTTTCATACTGCTGGTCTATCTTTAAATGCTTTCAATTCCAAATAATTTGCTGTATTTTTTTAATCGTGTTAATTGAAAAACAAGCCAACAGTTAGTTACTTTATCTGATTTAACAGTATTTTCACTAAAATCTTTCCAATAGTTCTTTAAAACAAGATATGTATGTATATATATGTATAAAAAGAGATTTGTTAATATAGACAGCAACCTAACAATACAATAGAGAGAAAAAACAAAACCGGTAAAGGTTAATATAAGTATAGACTAGTGCCGATACTTCAAACTATAAACTAATTTCAGCTTTATGAGGTTTTAAATAAATGAATTACGATACATGTATGAAAATGTCCAAATTCTAAAAAAAAAAAAAAACATCCTTCACCATGTTCACTAATCATTTTGACATAAATGTTGATCTATTCGTTTTCCTTTTAACAATTGTTCTATTTCTATATGTCCTTGCCACTGTGCTACACTAAGAGAATTTTTACCTTTATTGTTACATTTATTGACATCAGCTGAATGTTGTAACAGTTCTATAACAACATCAACATGTCCTTTCTGACTTGCCCAATAAAGTGAAGAACATCCATCATCATCACAGAGATTAATATCAACATCATCACAATGAAGAAGTACATGTACAACCTCAATCCTGTTGTTGTAACAAGCAATCTGTAATGGTGGGTGGCCATCATTACTACATTTATTGACATCAGCTGAATGTTGTATTAGTACTTTAACAACATCAACATGTCCATTCTGACTTGCCATATAAAGTGAAGAACATCCATCATCATCACAGAGATCAATATCAACATCATCACACTGAAGAAGTACATGTACAACCTCTATCCTGTTGTTGTAACAAGCAATCTGTAATGGTGGGGTGCCATCATTACTACATTTATTGACATCAGCTGAATGTTGTAACAGTACTTTAACAACATCAACATGTCCATTCTGACTTGCTATAGACAGAGGTGATACACCATTATTGTCACATTTATTGACATCAGGTGAATGTTGTAACAGTACTTTAACAACATCAACATGTCCATTCTGACTTGCTACATACAGAGGTGATACACCATTATTGTCACATTTATTGACATCAGCTGAATGTTGTAACAGTTCTTTAACAACATCAACATGTCCATTCTGACTTGCTACATACAGAGGTGATACACCATTATTGTCACATTTATTGACATCAGCTGAATGTTGTAACAGTACTTTAACAACATCAACATGTCCATTCTGACTTGCTACATACAGAGGTGATACACCATTATTGTCACATTTATTGACATCAGGTGAATGTTGTAACAGTACTTTAACAACATCAACATGTCCTACCTGACTTGCTATAGACAGAGGTGATACACCATCATTACTACATTTATTGACATCAGCTGAATGTTGTAACAGTACTTTAACAACATTAACATGTCCTTTCTGACTTGCCATATAAAGTGAAGAACATCCATCATCATCACAGAGATCAATATCAACATCATCACACTGAAGAAGTACATGTACAACCTCTATCCTGTTGTTGTAACAAGCAATCTGTAATGGTGGGGTGCCATCATTACTACATTTATTGACATCAGCTGAATGTTGTAACAGTTCTTTAACAACATCAACATGTCCTTTCTCACTTGCTATATACAGAGGTGATACACAATCATTACTACACTTATTGACATCAGCTGAATGTTGTAACAGTTCTTTAACAACATTAACATATCCATTCTGACTTGCTATATACAGAGGTGATGCATCATCATTCCTACATTTATTGACATCAGCTAAATGTTGTAACAGTACTTTAACAACATTAACATGTCCTTTCTCACTTGCTATATACAGAGGTGATACATCATCATTGTTACATTTATTGACATCAGCTGAATGTTGTAACAGTTCTTTAACAACATCAACATGTCCTTCCTGACTTGCTATATAAAGTGAAGAACATCCATCATCATCACAGAGATTAATATCAACATCATCACTCTGAAGAAGTACATGTACAACCTCTATCTTGTTGTTGTAACAAGCAATCTGTAGTGGTGGGGTTCCATCATTACTACATTTATTGACATCAGCTGAATGTTGTAACAGTTCTTTAACAACATCAACATGTTCTTCCTGACTTGCCCATAATAAAGGGAAGTTACCATCCTCTCTACAATAATTAATGTCACTATTCCTACTTATCAACCATTTGACAAGTTCAATAGTACCCATATAACAACTTCCTGAAAGTGCTATATCTTTATTGTGAATATCTTTAGTAGAAACAAGTTGTTGTTGTTTTGATAAATCAAGTTGGTTTAAACGTGTTATGAAGTTTTCTGTAAATGTAGTAGACTTCATGTTTCTGTTGACACATACACTGTATACATAACCATTCTCCCAGTCTATCAGTAACCTTTCTATATATCTATTTATATATTTATCAGGTATTCTTATTACAAACTCTGTTTCTGTGCCCATGTTATCTGTTATCTTCCATAGAAATCTCTCCTCAATGAAATCAGTATTAGCATGATCAATGAAAATCTGTATCATCTTCTCCCCAAAGTATTTAGCAAGGAAATCAAACAACTTATCATGGATTATTTTGTATTTATTATCCTCCTTGACCACGTAGGTACCATCAAGTGTTTCAAGTGATTTCTTTAAACGTTTGATGGATGCTCCTTTATTCAATTCACATTCTTCTAGTAAATCTTCTAGGACTGCTCCTATCTTCTTATCTTTTGAGGAGAAGTTTTCTTCTGTCAACGTGTTGTTGAACATTACACAAAGGACCAAGCTACAATATTTCATTTTACCAGTATCACCTTCTTTATACATTTGAGCAACTTGATCTTTAAAAACGCCAAAAGGATTGCTAAAAAAAGTACTTAGGCTTACATTTTTCTGGAGGTTCTGTTTATGATACAAGCTACATAAAAGCGGGAAAAAGTCATATTTTTCAGACAATTTCATTGCTTCATCAGTATTTTCCTTAAAATACATTCCAGCTAAAGCTATTTTTTCAGCAGCACTAAATCTGAATTCTTGTGCACTCAAATCGATGTTACACATTTTGAAAATAGATAGGTCGCTAAATATTTCATCTTTGTAAACTTCCAATCTACATGTAGATATAATTTTACAACATTGGTCTGTAAGAAGAGATGTAATGTCATTAAGATTTTGTTTCCAGTCATTGTAAATTTGTTGATTAAGAGTATATCTGCCACACACATCATCATAGACAAATAATGTTTTCCTATCATGTTTAAACCATTTTCCAATATCTTCAGGTTTACTACATGGAATTACAGTATAGCCATGTTTCTTCATTATGAGGGCAATGTGTTTAGAAAGAAAACTTTTTCCAGTGCCAGAATTTCCAACCAGGGTAACGGAACTTTGTGTCAAAACTTTTTGCATTACATGTTTTTCTGCTTCAGTGCTAACAAACTGTTGATCATCCTTTTTCCACTGTTCCAAACGTCTTTCGAACTGCTCTGTAAAAAATGAAATACAATAAATTAACTATCGATTTTAAGTTCAAATTTCAAGGTGAAATACCACAAAAATAAAGTATACTTCATCATGTTCATATATCTTGGGTGTTTTGAAGCACCATTCTTTTTTTTTTATTCATATTTTTAAAACTTAAGATGATGGTTATTTTCTGCAATGCGATGAAATGTGGTGTGAAATTTTCACTGATGTACTAATTTAAATTTAATCCATGGTAAATATTTCTTTACTTAAATCAAAGAAACATACTGTTAAATGCCAGCTAAACAAAGACTAATAGGAGAATATCAGTGGTGGTATTACCCCTTAAGAAAAATACTCTGACAAGTATGTTATTATTTATTATCATTGTTGTGACATTTTATATGTTTTGTAGTAACTTCTATATGTTCACACTACATGTACTATGTTTGTTTATGGTTTTTGTCATAAAATTAATAAGTGCCTAATTTATTATTCCAAAGCACTTATTTTCTGCATGTTCTGTGTGTTTTCAAGTTGGTGTCGCAGATCTCTTAAATGACCCCAAAATAAACTGTGACATGCAAATAATTTGATTTCTACCTTTGAATCAAAATACAAGCAGTATAAAAGGAGTCGATAAATACAAACTAGAAAACTTACACCGCTTGCACATTTTTTTGTGTCATAGAAACAAATGATAAATACTGATGCCAAAAAAGCGAATCATTTTCCTTTTTTTTTATTTCATGTTACAAGCAAAGCTTAAATTTGAGTGCCTGCATGACAACATGAAAAGTATAAAGTGATTGTATCCTCAATACAAGCCCTTATCAATCAAAACATGTGTATTTTCCAGTTATATATACTAATATGCCTTATTGTAGGATTAATGGTAAGTAATGTTCCAATGTTCTACATCAATAAACTTACCAAGTATATGTTTAGGAATAACTTCATCGTGATCCATCAGAATATCTTAAAAAAATAAAAACAACAAATTATGAACATGATACTCTCAGATTGAACTTGTTGTCCTTTGTGCTTTGTATCAATCTGGTAGGTTAAATGAAATAAGAAGATTAGCCCTTTTAACTAATTTTTATAGTTCCTTCTTTTGCTGTACTGTTACATCACTTTCCCAAGTAAGGGGAAGGTTTGACACCGGTACACGTTTAACCTCGCCACATTACGTAAGTTCATGCCCAAAGTCAGGGGAGGGTTTGACATCGGTACACAAGTTTAACCTTGCCACATTATGTATGTTCATGCCCTAAGTCAGGGGAGGGTTTGACATCGGTACACATGTTTAACCTTGCCACATTATGTATGTTCATGCCCCAAGTCAGGGGAGGGTTTGACATCGGTACACATGTTTAACCTCGCCACATTATGTATGTTCATGCCCCAAGTCAGGGGAGGGTTTGACACCTTTACACATGTTTAACTTTGCCACATTTTGTATGTTTATGCCCCAAGTCAGGGGAAGGTTTGACACCTGTACACGTGTTTAACCTTGCCACATTATGTATGTTTATGCCCCAAGTCAGGGGAGGGTTTGACATCGGTACACATGTTTAACCTCGCCACATTATGTATGTTCATGCGCCAAGTCAGGGGAGGGTTTGACACCTTTACACATGTTTAACTTTGCCACATTTTGTATGTTTATGCCCCAAGTCAGGGGAAGGTTTGACACCTGTACACGTGTTTAACCTTGCCACATTATGTATGTTCATGCCCCAAGTCAGGGGAGGGTTTGACACCTTTACACATGTTTAACTTTGCCACATTATGTATGTTTATGCCCCAAGTCAGGGGAAGGTTTGACACCTGTACACGTGTTTAACTTTGCCACATTATGTATGTTCATGCCCCAAGTCAGAGAAGGGTTTGACACTGGTACACATGTTTAACCTCGCCACATTATGTATGTTCATGTCCCAAGTAAGGGGAGGGTTTGACACTGGTACACATGTTTAACCTTGCCACATTATGTATGTTCATGTCCCAAGTTAGGGGAGGGTTTGACACTGGTACACATGTTAAACCTCACCACATTATGTATGTTCATGTCCCAAGCGAGGGGAGGTTTTGACACTGGTACACATGTTAAACCTCGCCACATTATGTATGTTCATGTCCCAAGTCAGAGGAGGGTTTGACACTGGTACACATGTTTAACCTTGCCACATTATGTATGTTCATACCCCAGGTTAGGGGAGGGTTTGACACCGGTACACACGTTTAATCTTGCCACGATTATGTATGTTCATGTCCCAAGTTAGGGGAGGGTTTGACACCTGTACACATGTTAAACCTCGCCACATTATGTATGTTCATGTCCCAAGGTAGGGGAGCGTTTGACACCAGTAAACATGTTTAACCTTGCCACATTATGTATGTTCATACCCCAGGTTAGGGGAGGGTTAGACACCGGTACACATGTTAAGCCTCGCCACATTATGTATGTTCATGTCCCAAGTAAGGGGAGGCTTTGACACTGGTACATGTTAAACCTCGCCACATTATGTATGTTCATGTCCCAAGTTAGGGGAGGGTTTGACACTAATACACATGTTTAACCTCGCCACATTATTTATGTTCCTGCCCCAAGTTAGGGGAGGGTTTGACACCAGTAAACATGTTTAACCTTGCCACATATTGTATGTTCATGTCCCAAGTAGGGGAGGGTTTGACACCGGTACACATGTTTAACCTTGCCACATTATGTATGTTCATGTCCCAAGTTGGGGGAGAGTTTGACACCGGTACACACGTTTAACCTTGCCACATTATGTATGTTCATGCCCCAAGTTAGGGGAGGGTTTGACACAGGTACACATGTTTAACCTTGCCACATTATGTATGTTCATGCCCCAGGTTAGGGGAGGGTTTTACACCAGTACACATGTGTAACCTTGCCACATAATCTATGTTCATGTCCCAAGTCAGGGGAGGGTTTGACACCAGTAAACATGTTTAACCTTGCCACATTATGTATGTTCATGTCCCAAGTTAGGGGAGGGTTTGACACCGGTACACATGTTTAACCTTGCCACATTATGTATGTTCATGTCCCAAGTTGGTGGAGAGTTTGACACCGGTACACACGTTTAACCTTGCCACATTATGTATGTTCATGCCCCAAGTTAGGGGAGGGTTTGACACAGGTACACATGTTTAACCTTGCCACATTATGTATGTTCATGCCCCAGGTTAGGGGAGGGTTTGACACCAGTACACATGTGTAACCTTGCCACATAATCTATGTTCATGTCCCAAGTCAGGGGAGGGTTTGACACCGGTACACATGTTTAACCTTGCCACATTATGTATGTTCATGTCCCAAGTCAGGGGAGGGTTTGACACCGGTACTCATGTTTAACATTGCCACATTATGTATGTTCATGCCCAAAGTCAGGGGAGGGTTTGTCACCGGTACACATGTTTAACCTTGCCACATTATGTATGCTCATGCCCCAAGTTAGGGGAAGGTTTGACCCTGGTACACTTGTTTAACCTTGCCACATTATGTATGTTCATGTCCCAAGTTAGGGGAGAGTTTGACACCGTTACACACGTTTAACCTTGCCACATTATGTATGTTTATGCCCCAAGTCAGAGGAGGGTTTGACACCGGTACACACGTTTAATCTTGCCACATTATGTATGTTCATGTCCCAAGTTAGGGGAGGGTTTGACACCTGTACACATGTTAAACCTCGCCACATTATGTATGTTCATGTCCCAAGGTAGGGGAGGGTTTGACACCAGTAAACATGTTTAACCTTGCCACATTATGTATGTTCATACCCCAGGTTAGGGGAGGGTTAGACACCGGTACACATGTTAAGCCTCACCACATTATGTATGTTCATGTCCCAAGTAAGGGGAGGCTTTGACACTGGTACACATGTTAAACCTCGCCACATTATGTATGTTCATGTCCCAAGTTAGGGGAGGGTTTGACACTGGTACACACGTTTAACCTTGCCACATATTGTATGTTCATGTCCCAAGTTAGGGGAGGGTTTGACACCGTTACACATGTTTAACCTTGCCACATTATGTATGTTCATGTCCCAAGTTGGTGGAGAGTTTGACACCGGTACACACGTTTAACCTTGCCACATTATGTATGTTCATGCCCCAAGTTAGGGGAGGGTTTGACACAGGTACACATGTTTAACCTTGCCACATTATGTATGTTCATGCCCCAGATTAGGGGAGGGTTTGACACCAGTACACATGTGTAACCTTGCCACATAATCTATGTTCATGTCCCAAGTCAGGGGAGGGTTTGACACCGGTACACATGTTTAACCTTGCCACATTATGTATGTTCATGTCCCAAGTCAGGGGAGGGTTTGACACCGGTACTCATGTTTAACATTGCCACATTATGTATGTTCATGCCCAAAGTCAGGGGAGGGTTTGTCACCGGTACACATGTTTAACCTTGCCACATTATGTATGCTCATGCCCCAAGTTAGGGGAAGGTTTGACCCTGGTACACTTGTTTAACCTTGCCACATTATGTATGTTCATGTCCCAAGTTAGGGTAGGGTTTGACACCGGTACACATGTTTAACCTCGCCACATTATTTATGATCATGTCTCAAGTCAGGGGAGGGTTTGACACCTTTACACATGTTTAACCTTGCCACATTATGTATGTTCATACCCCAGGTTAGGGGAGGGTTAGACACCGGTACACATGTTAAACCTCGCCATATTATGTATGTTCATGTCCCAAGTAAGGAGAGGCTTTGACACTGGTACACATGTTTAACCTTGCCACATTATGTATGTTCATGTCCCAAGTTAGGGGAGGGTTTGACAATGGTACACATGTTTAACCTCTCCACATTATTTATGTTCCTGCCCCAAGTTAGGAGAGGGTTTGACACCAGTAAACATGTTTAACCTTGCCACATTATGTATGTTCATGCCCCAAGTCAGGGGAGGGTTTGACACCGGTACACATGTTTAACCTTGCCACATTATGTATGCTCATGCCCCAAGTTAGGGGAAGGTTTGACCCTGGTACACTTGTTTAACCTTGCCACATTATGTATGTTTATGCCCCAAGTTAGGGGAGGGTTTGACACCTGTACACACGTTTAACCTTGCCACATTATGTATGTTCATGTCCCAAGTTAGGGTAGGGTTTGACACCGGTACACATGTTTAACCTTGCCACATTATGTATGTTCATACCCCAGGTTAGGGGAGGGTTTGACACCGGTACACATGTTAAACCTCGCCACATTATGTATGTTCATGCCACAAGTTAGGGGAGGGTTTGACACTGGTACCCATGTTTAACCTTGCCACATTATGTATGTTTATGCCCCAAATTATGGAAGGGTTTGACACCGGTACACATGTTTAACCTTGCCACATTATGTATGTTTATGCCCCAAGTTAGGGGAGGGTTTGCCACCGGTACACGTTTAACCTTGGCACATTATGTATGTTCATGCCCCAAGTCAGGAGCCTGTAATTCAGTGATTGTCATTTTTTGCTGTGTATTATATTTCATACATAAATCAGGCTGTTAGTGTCTTGTTAGAATTGTTTCACATTTGTCATTTCAGTGCCTTTAATAGCTTACTTTGAGGTATGGATTTTGCTCATTGTTGAAGGCTGTATGGTGACCTATATTTGCTAACTTTTACGTCATTTGGTCTCTGGCAGGTAGTTTTCTCATTGACAATCTTACCACATATTCTTTTTTTCCTATTAACAATTATGAATAAGTTTTGGCTTACACCAAAATTACACGGCCTAATACTAAAAAGAGTGCACTGAAATGTTGCACCTGCTAAATCGATCATTACTGAATAATTTGTTGACAGTCCCAAGTAATGTCTAAGATAACTGCAAATGTCAAGAAATGTTATGGCAATACAAAGTCCCCTACCGGTTAAAAATTCATTGTACTGGAACAAAATGCTAACTTCATCTATAAG